GGGGGCTGTTTGCAAACTGCGCCCATTTTGTGGGGCCGAATCCGCCCGGGCGACGCTCCTCCATCACGTGGTAGGTGCTGCTGCTGCTGCTCCTTTCCTCCACCTCCTCCCGCTGCCCTTTCTCCTTCTCCTCGCTCTCCCCGTGGCTCCCATTTCTCTCTCTTTGTTAGTAGTAACTAGAAAGGCAGGGCAGGGCAGGAAAAACCCCCGGAACTTTAAATGGCCTCTCCGGGCTTCCCCGCTGCGGGTCCGGGGCTGGGAGTCGCCCCAAGGGCGGGGGTGTGCGGGGCCCTTCCCCACCAGCTGCCGCCGCGTTCGCCAGCTTTTCCTTTGGCGTTCTATTTAAAAACGAGGCCTTAGAACACGATTTATTCCCGTTAAAATAACAAAACAAAAACAAACTCTGGCTTTCGCCTTGAACTTCTCGACTGCAAAAGGCCTTTCTCTGCTCGAAATACACATCTTGCGCGTTTCACGGTGTATATCACAACTCTTGATTGTTCTGTGAGATGGTTATTTGTTTCATTTATTTTTGTTTTTGTTGCCTGTAAATTGAGGTCACTTAGGTTTTCAGATCTAGTTTCCCTCAGGCGGACGTGTTTTTTTTTTTTTTTTTAAACTAAAGAGGAAGAGGCATTTATTTGCTTTTAAGTGAGTTTGGGGGGCCTGTTTTCCGGCTGACGGTCTTTTGATTCTCAGCATATAGTTTGATTGTTCTTCCATATGATAAACAGTATCCTGATGCTTTACTTAAACATCCTTTTGTTTTCCTTTTTTGGGATCCCAATGTGGTGTTTTTGAGAAACATGTTACTTAACTATTGCTTATTGGATTGCCTTAGGGGAGAAGGGGTGACATGATGGCGCCACTTTAAATTGCTCTTTCCTCCTCCGTTTTCCCCCTTTATCCTAGAGGTCACTGGTGCCCTTTTTGTGACCTATTAATAAAACTACTTGAGGATATTAACAGTACAACTTTTAGGGCTAGAGTTTGGTCCCTTAAGGGTCGGTAGACTCGAATCTCAAGGTTCCCAAAGTTCCGAGAAACCTCCCTAGTCTTGCCTCGCTTCCCTCCCCTCCATTCACAATCCTGATGTTGCCATCTCCTTTGTCACGTGGCTAGCAATCATTGTGTGTTTCTTTTTTTTTTTTTTTTTTGGTTTGTTTTGGGATGTGTTTTTATTTTTAAATTGTAGCCCCGAAGAACCTACCCCCTCCCGATTGGAGAGAGCAAAACGTTTCAGTTGTTTTAGTTTTAGAGTCGGACAACATTTGTAAAAAACGATAAAATTACATAATCTTTGCCTTGCGTAATCATGATATAGTTATAGATTGTTACTGAACTTCGTTCTAAAGCACTTTCAAGTATGGAAAAGTAGTACATTGGGGTACGTTCTTCATCTTTCAGAATAGTATAGTTGCTATTTTTCCTACTTTGGGGCCATTTAAAGTACCACTATTTACAAAGGCTTAAGTGGGTGTGTTTTCCCCTCCCCCCTTCTATAGGCTATACTTGGTTCCTTTTCTAACAGTCTGACCAATTTAGAAATTTTCAATTGTCTTCAGGTTTGTCAGTTAAAACTATTTTTCTTATATCCTAACAACAGTTAAATACTTTTGAGTAATAATTATGCTTTAGCTAAGAGTATTTCATTATTTTTTATTGTGCTTTTGATCTGGAGATTTTTTGCTTTTTATCTTAGTTTTAAATGAATGTTCATTTATCGGTTTCTTCATATCAGTTTTCCTAATAATTGTGTAAATTCCTATTTTATAAAATACCAAGTATATTTCTCTGTTTTTCTACATAGGTTATTAGCCACTTTTACAATTTAAAAAATGTGATTTAATAAACTTTTAAAAAAAGTAAATATGAAATGTAGTGATTCTTAAGGATGCATTGATTCTTGTCCTCTTACTAATTATTTTCAATGATTTGGGCCATTTTCTTTGCTAACAGTTACATCACATCATGTGATATGTGCAGTGTGATGTGTAGTTCTAAAAATAAGGCAAGGTAAAATGCTCATTCCTTGAGGAATTTAAAAAATGTATTATAAATATGGAATAACTGATTTATATTTCTGATTTCAATTTCCACTAGGTTTCCCCAACACAGTATGCAATTCTTTTGACTTTAGCGTATTTGGTATATGTGTTAGTGATCTCATGTTTGGAGGTGGTTAGCTTTTTATTTCTCAAATGTTGGAGAGAAATACTAAATGTGACCAAGATTCTGAACATCTCTGTATTATGTATGGTTGGTCTCTGATGACTGCCTCATTGAAGTAAGATACATATGTAAGATAAGCATTTTGATTTGTATCTGTAGATAGTTAAAAGAATGATCAATTAAATATTAATGGACCTTTGAGGGTGGGGTGGGCTGGGGTTTTTGGTCCTTTTGCCTATATGAATTTATTAAAGTGAAGTATTTAGAAGTGTTCCTGCATCTTTTCTGAAAGCTTAATTCAGAACATTAGTATTTGACTGTTGTGCTTTACCAGTCAGGTGTTAACTTTTTGTCTGATTTTCTTTTTTTTCTTGCCTACACATGTTATTTCTATGGCTAAAACTGCAGAGCATTCTTTGGTTGTTAAGTGACTTATCATTATCCTGTTGAGGAAAATATTGGAAGCTAGAAAATGAGTAAGCCTTAAGTTCACTTTAGAACTTTTATCACGGTGAGAAGAAAGGAAAATAACTGTAGTACTCCATTTTTTCTTCTTCAAACACTGCCAACTCTGCCATCTTATTTGTTACACTGTAACATACATCCTCTGAATTTTATTGGGTTGGCCACAGATTTTAATTGTATTTTAAAGTGAAAGCAAATTTTAGATTTGTTCTGTTGATACAACCTGACTCATGTGACCTGTAAACATAGGGCCATGTGGTTGATGGTGTTGGTTGGAGAAGGTATTTTAGTATTTGAGTGGTGCTAGTTGGGAACTTTGTGAATAAAGTTTAGTTATCTTGTCATATTAGAAACACAATTTTTAAATGTTGTAAAAACATCATAATCATGCTGTATTTTCTAAACAATAGTCATTGAAAATTCTGTGTTTGAAGAGTAATACTTATTCCTTTTATATTTAGTCAGCTTGCTTGAAGGCTTGGTAGGATTTGTTTTTTTTCTTCTTGGTGAGGCTATTAAAACAAATTTAAATAGTTTCCTTCCTGGAGAGAGAGAGAGAGAGAGATTTAAAAAAATTTTTTTAATTGATTCCCTCCCTCCCTTCCTCCCCCCTCCCCCCCCCCAAAAAGATCTCTCCATTGCCTTGAGTTTGGAAAGGAGGGAACAGTGCAGATTAAGTATGTGGTCTTCATTTGATTGCCCCAGAGCAAATTTCATCATTTAGTGGTTTATTTAAAGCTCTAAAGCACCTTTTCTTTGCCTTCTTTCTTTATTTTAAGTAAAGTTCTGCCTTGTTTGGTTAGACCAGTGGTTCTCAACCTTCCTAATGCCGTGACCCTTTAATACAGTTCCTCATGTTGTGGTGACCCCCAATTTCATTGTTACAAATTGAACATAACTAAAGCATAGTGATTAATCACAAAAACAATATGTAGCCAAAACCGGTTTGACTCAGTGGATAGTGTGTCGGCCTGCGGACTGAGAGGTCCCAGGTTCGATTCCGGCCAAGGGCATGTACATGGGTTGCGGGCACATCCCCAGTGGGAGATGCGCGGGAGGCAGCTGATCGATGTTTCTCTCTCATCGATGTTTCTAACTCTCTCTCTCCCTTCCTCTCTGTGAAAAATCAATAAAATATTTAAAAAAAACACAAAAAAACAAAAACAGTATGTAATTATATGTGTGTTTTCTGATGGTCTTAGGCGGACCCTGTGTAAAGGTCGTTTGGCCCCCAAAAGGGTCGCGACCCACAGGTTGAGAACCGCTCGGTTAAACTGTTTTAAGTCTTAGGAAGTGTCTTTACATTAGTGTACTCTTTTGCTTGATCACTTTTTGAAGTACAGTGTAGGTGTCTTAAATAAAAATGGTCCCAAACACCTGGCCTACCTACTATCTCAGTGTAGAGTATTTGGACCATGTCCTTTACCCTAAAATAGGACTTTATTTCTTGGAAATCTATATTAAGACTGGTTTTCCAGTCTGCATGTTGGTTCTGAAGATGTATTTTTAAATGATAGTTTCTATCCCTAATAATTAGTCTCTGGGCATATTAAAAATTTTGTAAAAATATCCTTGCCAGAGTATAATAATTCATAACAAAATAAGGCTCTTTCAGTACTTCCCATTCTCCTAAAAACAGTGATAGGAAAGACAATATAAATTGGAAAAGACAAATACCCACTGTACTAGAGATCTCCAACATTAGAAGGTCACGAGAAGAAGGTAGGAGGTAAGTGGTATCTTTGGGTATCACTTGCAGATTGTGGGAAGAATTGTGGGTCATAGGAAAAGACCAGTTGGAAGGGTTACTATTAATTATTCAGTTATTATTTGTTTCTCCATTATGTCATGTGCCAGTCTTTTAGGATGTAGGGTGAAATATGTAGGAGAAAATAAACCAGCAGGTATAATTTACCAAAAAGACTTGACTCCAAACAGGACTGAAATTGTCTTTTTTTTTAATGTGTTATGAGGAAACTGACTTAAGAGTTTAAAGCACAGCTCGTATTTATGAATGAAAAGCAGACAAACTTGGATAATCTGAAAGAAAAACTTAAAAGTTTGTATAAGAAGTTTTTAAACCTTTATGCCAAGAGACCCTCAAGGGGGAAGATCTTTTAAATTTTTGTCTCCCTTTGGGTAGAAGTCTGGCAGATAATAGTTGCTTAATAAATGTTACTTCCTGCAAGCCTTGCTTTTCCAAGACTAAGCTAGCTCCATAAAATTTTCTACCTATGCATATGTCCATAGTTCCCCCCAAAAAGCTTGGGGTGTGTGTGTGTGTTAATATATATATATATATAGACACACACACACGTGTGTGTGTGTTTGTGTGCATTTATATATACATATATATGTGCTTTTAAAAATATTTTTATTGATTTCAGAGAGGAAGGGAGAGGGAGAGAGAGATAGAAACATCAATGATGAGAG